AAAAAAACATATATTAAAATTTTTTTAAATACAGATATGTTTTTTTATATATGTTTAATACATTTTTTTTACATTCCCATTTACCCCAGTAGCAAAAAACAAAAAACCAAGACAGTGTTTCTATGACTTTCCAAAAGATTATGCTGGTCAAAAAAGAATTTGATGTCATTCTCTTAGCCCTTGAGCTTACCTGTATGCTCTTCTCACAGTCGGTCTGCTGATGCAGCAGTAGCTCGCTCTCCATTAGGAAGCGTTTGCCACACTTGTCACAAATATGCATGCGGTTATGTGACACGTTCATGTGTTTCTCCAGGTACCAGCGGTTGTTGAATGTCTTGGGGCACCACACACAGGTGAAGCTCTGAAACTCTAAGCTATCCTGGTCCAGATGCTCCTCACCGTTCCCTCCATGAGCTGTCTCTTGCCTCCCTCTCACACGTTTTCTCTTGGAGACCATCGTGACAGCATCAATGGAGGCCCGGGTTTGTCGTACGGGTCTTTCAGACATGAATGCAGGTAATGTGTATTCACCTTCCTCTTCACTGGTGCCTTCAAGTCTCACATCATCATCTTCACTTTGCTCACATTCATCTTCCTCCTCCTCCAAAGCCACATTGTCTCTTGATTCCTCAACATTCTCATTACTCCTCCTTCCTTTGCCAGGAAGCTGTTGTCCTGAGGGCGACTGAACTGCCGCGTTTCCCTCTAAACCTTTGGACACATTAAGTGTTTGGTTGTTCAGGTTCAGCTCTACAATAATTTGCTCTCTATTAAATGAATCAAGATCTTCAGAGTCCTTCAGGTTTTCCATTTCCTTCCCTTCTACTTTACAACCGCCTACTTGCACTGGACGCCCATCGCCAACCTGAACAGCATATGGGTTCACTTCACTTTTCCCTCCATAGATCCTGGCACAGGTGGGGTCCTTCTCTTGCTTGATCTCCATGTGAAAGTTGAAGTTCACCGAGTTGCTGTTGCTCCAGCTCTGAGCGCCGACTTCCTGTTTGGCTTGGTCCACACTGGGACTGATGTCCAGCGAGCCTCTAGTAATGAGCTCACTGCAGGAAGTGGCGATGTTGCTCATCTGGAGCTCTGTGGCAGCCTTGAGCACATCTTGGGCATTGCAGCTGGAGACCAGCAGCTTGGAGGTGTAGATGAAGTTGAGGATCTGCTGCAGGCCTTGAGGCTTGAGGGTCTCCAGAGAGAGTTCAACTCGCCGCAGCTCCTTACTGGATGCAAACAGCGAGTGGAAGAAGGGGCTGTAGGCTGCTAGGACACCCTTATGGGCCTGGAAAGAAGTCTGGTGGTGCATGAGGACGATGTCTACGTCACATAGATCTGGCTGAAACAGACGCTGCTTGTTCAACCTGTCCATTAAAAAGGTGCAGTGAAGGGCCACATCCTCAACGAGGGAGAACTCTGCAGATGGATGCTCGGCAGTTTTCTCCACTATGAGCTACAACAGAACATCAGATTGATGTAAGATGCATATCAACTTTCAATGTTTAAATATTAGATATTGATTTACATTACAATCAAACAACAGGCTGGAGTAATTGTCATTTAGCTGTCAAGCAAATTATAATTTTTAAATTCTAGTAATATAAAACTATTTCTAGAAAACAATTTATATCATGTCTTTTATGCCTTTGTATATTTTATAAAGAAGGTCACTCACAAAGAAAAAATACATTATATATTAATGACATTATAATATATAATAAATTATGTATGTTATTTACAGATTGTCTAAATCATACAGCTGTCATAATAAAATAATCCAATTATCCAGACAGGGAACCAGTGCAGATATCTAAAATTATATTATATTATATTATATTAGATTAGATTAGATTAGATTAGATTAGATTAAGATGATTTTTAAATATCGAACACATATTTTCTTTATAATGCCAAGCTTGATATTTTTCTTAAAATGTATAGCGTATAGCTGCTTTTATATTTTATATATTTTATAAAGATGATTTTATTATTTATATTACAATGTTTTATATGCTATGTATCTGAATGATATACAGGCTTTCCAGCTATCATAATATAGGCATTCAATTATCCAGACAAGTAAACAGTGAAGATATGTGAAATATTATTATATTATAAATATACTTATTTTATAAAAACAATTTCTTTTATTTCTTTATTATTATAATTTATTATTATATGTCCTAGTTCTACTAGACATACCAACATTATTACACAACATTTCTCATTTAAGCTACAGTATTGTCCAAAGTCATGAGCTGGGACAGGTACACTCTCAGAATTTTTTTTTTTACAAAAATTGTACCTTTAGGGGTACAACATCTTGTCACTGGGGCAGTACCGGACAACTTTCTCCCTTCTTTACCTCTAAAAAGTTCATAATAGTATCATAAAACTACATATTACTACTATAAGGACACTTACTACTCTAAGGTACTAATAATACGCACCCTTTAGGGATGAAGAAGGTTGTTTTGAGGGTACTGTCCCTGTTGTACCCCAAAGGGTACAATTTATGCACATTTGTTCTAAGTGTAATTTATTTAGTTGAGGGCTGTATTAAAATTTGAACAGATGTTCCGATAATAACAATCATTACATCAGCATCTTATCGAAAAGTAGCAGAAAGTTGTAGAAGCTCTCGACAGATGTGGAAGCAGCATGCTATCAGCACATCTGCATGACATGCACATCATCCTCCAGATGTGACTGATGTCTGTCAGATTCTACAGGCCAAGTAAACATTCACAGACATTCAGGTAACAAAAACGGTAAGAGAAGGGTCTTACTACCATGGTGATTCAGTGGTCTCTGCCTCGAAGGAGAACCGTCTCCCCTCCTTAGCATTTCAGAGCTTCGTTTTCATGAAAATAGCTGTCATTTATATCCACACTGCGCTCTTCTGTTTAGACATCTGTCCGTTTTCGCCATGTCCGCATGCAGAAGGGCTCGCACTCTCGGCCGGGGGAGTGATGATGATTGGAGGTGGAAAATAATATGGGTCGTTTTGTCTGGAGCTTTAAAGCGACAGGGACGTGATTAAACGAGGGGGAAAACACAATTCGAAGCGTTCGGAGCTAAATTATGGTTACAAATGGCAGAATAATCGCTTAGGTAGAACAAATTTTTGGATGCGTTCAAACGGTCTCCTTGAGCACCTGGCGCCGCTGCCCAGTCAGAGCCCAAAGGCAGCAGGGTCAGCGAGTCCACCGCGGAGTGAACCGGTTCACCGCAGACAGCGCTAACGCCTGCAGAGCGCTGCTGCGGCCACGCGGTGGCGCTACAACACAGCTTTTTGTTAGAGACGCTCTCATTGACGCCATCGTTAAACTCACAGCTGTGCCCGAGACGTTTCATTGATTTTTTTCACTTCTACACTTTATTGCAGCTATAAAAGAATGTTACTTTTCATGTTTTGAAATTGCTATTTGATATCTGACGTCTTACTCCTAACTCTTAAAATATTTTATTAACTGACTTAAAAGGTCATGCAAAAATGTTTTGTGAGAAAAATCGCAATAAATGCCTTTGTTATGATCTCGGGTTTGCTGTCAGTGCAACTGTTAGTAGGTCCCTCCAGAACAATAAAACCTAGTTTATTATACCAAAAGGGAAAAGTGTTTATTAGAGACTTTATCCAAGACTTGGTGCACATGTGCCATCAAAAATGACAAAAAGACCACACAGATGTAAAATATGGGGGATAAAATGACGTATTATGTGTTAGGGGCTAACATTTAGTATATTTTAAGCCTATCTGGTAGAGCTTGGTATGGTTTTAGTGCCATGGCGTAGTGCAGCTGTCAGATTAGATCTGCAGAGGTCAATACTCAGTGTATGCTTTAGTTAATATAATGTTTTTAGGGTTTTGATGGGGAAGAAATAATACTAAGTTCAAAAACACTGAGCAAAAAAAAAAACTTTTATAAAGTTGAAACATTGCAGAGATGTATTATATAACACAGGGACTGGATCCGAAATGCATCTTAGCTGAGTGTATCATTTACATGTTTATGTAGTTAACCCTTATGAATTCTGTATTTAGGCTAATTGATGTCACTTTTGACTTTAATAGGATTAAAACATTTATTTATTTGTAAATGCCTCACACAAATTAGATTAGATTAGATTAGATTAGATTAGATTAGATTAAGATGATTTTTAAATATCGAACACATATTTTCTTTATAATGCCAAGCTTGATATTTTTCTTAAAATGTATAGCGTATAGCTGCTTTTATATTTTATATATTTTATAAAGATGATTTTATTATTTATATTACAATGTTTTATATGCTATGTATCTGAATGATATACAGGCTTTCCAGCTATCATAATATAGGCATTCAATTATCCAGACAAGTAAACAGTGAAGATATGTGAAATATTATTATATTATAAATATACTTATTTTATAAAAACAATTTCTTTTATTTCTTTATTATTATAATTTATTATTATATTTCCTAGTTCTACTAGACATACCAACATTATTACACAACATTTCTCATTTAAGCTACAGTATTGTCCAAAGTCATGAGCTGGGACAGGTACACTCTCAGAATTTTTTTTTTTACAAAAATTGTACCTTTAGGGGTACAACATCTTGTCACTGGGGCAGTACCGGACAACTTTCTCCCTTCTTTACCTCTAAAAAGTTCATAATAGTATCATAAAACTACATATTACTACTATAAGGACACTTACTACTCTAAGGTACTAATAATACGCACCCTTTAGGGATGAAGAAGGTTGTTTTGAGGGTACTGTCCCTGTTGTACCCCAAAGGGTACAATTTCATACAAATATATATATATATATATATATATATATATATATAAATGCCCTAAATATAGGTATGCACAAAATCCTAAAATGTAGAATGTTTTATCTTATTTTGTGCAATACATTAATTCTGCATTCTATTGTTAAGATTTTTATATGCAATTTAACAGTTAGTTTTACAGTCATTCTCTTTTTTTCTGGTGTTGTTATCATGCACAAGTTTAGAGTGTGTGCTGACAAATTAGATCTGCAGAGGTCAATACTCAGTGTATGCTTTAGTTAATATAATGTTTTTAGGGTTTTGATGGGGAAGAAATAATACTAAGTTCAAAAACACTGAGCAAAAAAAAAAACTTTTATAAAGTTGAAACATTGCAGAGATGTATTATATAACACAGGGACTGGATCCGAAATGCATCTTAGCTGAGTGTATCATTTACATGTTTATGTAGTTAACCCTTATGAATTCTGTATTTAGGCTAATTGATGTCACTTTTGACTTTAATAGGATTAAAACATTTATTTATTTGTAAATGCCTCACACAATAAGTCCCATGGGGCTCACTGACATTTCATTCGTCCTATAAAACATCTACAGACTAAACTCATGTTATCTTGAACTCTATATGAGACTGACTGTAGTTCTGTAACATACAATATATATATATATATATATATAAATGCCCTAAATATAGGTATGCACAAAATCCTAAAATGTAGAATGTTTTATCTTATTTTGTGCAATACATTAATTCTGCATTCTATTGTTAAGATTTTTATATGCAATTTAACAGTTAGTTTTACAGTCATTCTCTTTTTTTCTGGTGTTGTTATCATGCACAAGTTTAGAGTGTGTGCTGACAAAAAAGTAATGGATTATAACAATTGCTCTGCTGTAGCACATTTAGTGTTAAACTCTGTCAAAAGATTAGAATCGTTGGACAAATGTCTTTAACAACATGGTGTAAGAGGAAGGTTGTAAATCGTCCAGTGATGTTGAAGTTCACGAGTAAGCTAATGTAAGTCGCAAATAAACATAAATCACAAGGTCTATAAGAAGGGCATCTAATAATAAGCCTCTCAAACAAAGATGTTTATGGTCGTAATGAGTTATGGGAATTTAATTATAATATAGTCTTTGAAAATAATTTCCATATGTGAACTAGATGAGGCTTTTGGACATAAGAAGGGGTTGCATGCTTATATAATTCATATTTATATCGTGCTAATTAACATGGTGTGATTCTAGGCTTAGTTTCCAGCCCTCCCCCCATGGGAGTCATTTCATTCATTTCAATGCAATCCTCAGGAGACGCTGCCTCCTGTTGGCTCATCTGCTCACATCTATAAACATCATTTTGTTTATGTACTGGAGATCTCGCTGTAATTTTAAACCACGCTTGACCATGCTGAGTTTGGCTAATCGGTCTGCTGTGACAGCATGCTCACTGGTATTCAGACACTGAAAATGATTTAAGGAGAGATACACAAAGGGATGAAGAGAGGGAGAGTTACGAGAATAATTTAACAAGGGATTTGGTAGATAAATAAATGACAGATGTGTTTTAGATACGAGGTAAACAAAATGAGATCTCCTTCACCTTTCACTGGGTCTGCTTTCTCTCACTCCATCATTCTTGCACAAGATTTGATTGTCATCCTAATAGTGATGTCTCTGATTTTGAAACTTCACGAGAAAGCTGAAATCCACAATATATGAAAACAAAGCAGTTGCAATTGTGGTTGAATTAATGCCAGAATGAATACAATGTGTTTAGTTTTTACACAGAGCCATGTGTATAGATAGATACATACCGGATGGATGGATGGGTGGATAAACTTAGAAGGCAATTACCTGTTAAAACCAAAAATTCATTTAAAATAAAATACGAAATAATGATAAAAAAAATTTTTTATTGCACACTGGTGATAGTGATGATTTGTTAAAAATAACACATAATTTAATATAAAAATCTATAATTTTCTCTGACCAGCATATAAATACTTTTATATAAAGAGAAAAGACATGCTAAGATCTAATGTAACAAAATTGATCTGTATACTTTCTATGACAACATCCACAATACACTTTCCAAAAACAGCAACAACACTGCTATTGACATTTTCTCTTAAATGTACATCTTATTCACAATGAGGTACAAGAACTGTGCATGCAAACATGCAGGAGCATTTTCATGCCAGCTACTATGACTAACACTGTGCATGTACTCATGACAGCTAAAAAGATTTCAGACTAAAAATCCTCTTTAGAAAGACCAATCTCCTAAAAATGCATCTTTTGCAATTGTTTTTACACAACCCATGTAAATTTTCACATTTAACTATACAATTACACTATAAATCACTATTATAAAACATACAGCATGACGCACTACTGCTGCACAAGTAAACATGCTTTTATGGCTCTCGATGAGAGACGTTTGTGTTTGTCCACATGTACACAGACACACAAGCACATGACACGAATAGGGAGGATGCAAAAACACAATGTCAGACTGTCTAAATCACATTACTTATTTCCTGGAATAAGGAAGAAGATGAAAATAAAACCTGGTCACTAGAGACCCAAAAGGTCACCGTTCAGCTTTACAGATTATTAAGAGACTGAGAAATCTTGAGCAGCATAATGAGGGCAGGGAAAACAGAAAAACACAACAGACAGATACCAACTCTAATGCTGAAGATTAATGTCTGTGCTGTTGTGCACAAAAAAACGGGGCAATGGATGTGGACCATGATTCAAACGAGTCTTCTCTCAGCAATAATATTGCATCCTTATAAAGCCAGCGTCACTTGAGTCAGTAGTTTGGTGAAACACAATCAAACGTCAAAGAGTCCATTTTACTTGCATATTTCTCTCCTGATCGATGTGTATGAAAGAATGGCTATGAAGATACATCATATGCCAAACGGTCACCATGAGCTGTACGGTTTCCCTCACGTTCCTACTGAGCGGTGAGATGCGCAGTTCCTACAGGAATGATGGCGGAGCAGCAACCTGCAGATGATGGAGGTGGTCTGGGTGACAGCCTTTCTGTGCGTGTAGAGCACAGACTCATTGGTTTGTGTGTCTTGTCATAGACGGAGCATCACT